GTGCAGTGGAGAAAGTAGAAAAAAAAAACATTAAATGCAATAAATTTAAGACCATGGAAGTTTTACATCTGTCCTTGTTTAAGTAGATAGAAGTTCCTAATTAGTAACCTTGCCAGGTTTTTTTTTTCTTCCTTTTTTTTTTGCTTGTAATGGTGATCCATGTCCTGAACTTTATTCTGAATTGTTAAAGTGTGGCAAGTTTTTACCATCAGAAGTAGGAAGTTTAATAATCAAATTAACTATACTATGTAAATAATCAAATTTACTAATACTATATTTATAGGCCCAGAAAAGGAAAGATAATTATTATCGCCTCACACTAAAAAAAAGTAAAAAGGATAAGGTGGCGCTGAATTTAATAAAAAAGAGTTATAACCTGCTGCAAAACCTAAGGGGTCTCAGTGGGGAAAAAAACATACCCAGGTTAAAAATAGTTTTCAATGATCATTATTGATTTATGGAGAAGCGGTGGTGTCAGGCCCCATTCACACCAAATCCGTAAGCATCCAATTTTCAACATATGCCAACGGAAGGTAACCCCAAAAATGTATGGGTGTGAATAGGAACCAATTCACACCGATATGTTGCCTTGTAGTGCGCTGAAAAAGCAGTAGAGCATGCTCTTTTTTCAGCGCACTGTAAAGCAACGCATCAAAAACACATGTCAACGCAATGGAATGGAACGCAATGGAACAGAAAAAATATGCATAGATGTTTGTCCACTCAGGACATGTTAATTAAAATAAAGATTGGCAAAAAAAAATGCAATGCAACGGAGGTTTACACTGCAAGTCGACACACCTCCGCTGACTTACATTTTTGGTCCGATTTTGGTGTACACAGGCCCTGAATGCAGCTAATATTTGAGATGTATTTCTAAAAGTTATCATTTAAAACACAATTTTGGTAAAATCTGAATCCAATGACAGAGGCTGTGACACATATGCAGGCTTGTTACATCGAAAAAAACTTCCAATGGACAGGATTATCCAACAGACAATCTTCAATATAAAGTAATACACCAAAAAAGCTACTAAATTGCTTTTATAAACATTACCACTAATAATATACATTCTCGGAAAAAGAAATGAATGACATATTGTGAACTTGTTTTGGTGGCTCTGAATGCAATAAGCACCTACAGTATTGTAGCGCTGGTACACGAGCAGTTAAATGAAACTGACACATGACAGGTGACGGGTACTAGCTGGTATGAAGTCTTTATGAAGCCTGGGCACCGAATGGTTTGAGTACCACGGAAAACAGGCAAATAACTTCGATGTTCAATCCTCCGACCTACTCTGACAAAGGCTGTGGCCTACATACCAGACCCACCAACTCAGCTCCCAAACTCCAATAAGATAAGCTGTCCGGCTTTCCGCTCAGAGTATATATTTATTAAAAGCTGGGGCGGGCTACGTACGTGCTTTCCCCTGCATTAGAATTATGATTAATTACATTACACTTAACAGTGGATTAAGCCTCTAAAATGCCAGCGGATTTTCCTACGTTGCGGAAAAAAAAAAAGCACAGTCCAAACTTTTGTTTACACAAGTCTGTCCTGAAATGTCTCCTGTTCCGCAGGCCAATTGCACAAGCCAACAATGAGGCAACACCGTAAGCGACAAACTAGCAAGCAGGACAACACTTGCGCACGTCACAGAACAATTTAGATTAAGAACGTGAAGAATGCAAAAGTCAATCAGAACACTTTTTTTTTTTTTATTCAGTCCTGCAATGGTTTCTAAACCGTATCAAGTCCAACTTGCAAACATTTGGAAACTACAATGTGCTCGTACCTTGCGCTGCGGGGCTCTGGATACAGATCCCCCTATCATTTCTCATTTTGAGTCATCAGCGTCAGGTGCGTTTAAGCTGTCCCCTGACAATAAAAGAGACTAAATAGCAGAATTGAAGTCCAAACCAAACTATATATTTTTTTGCAAGGGGGGATTAATTGGTGATCTGTTTGCATGTACTTGAACACACCACAGGCCGAACAGGTGGCGACATATGTGTATTGAGGCAAGGACTGGCACAAACTTGTGTTCAAAGTCCTTATCGGGATGATTAAAATAAATAAAGACTTTTTTTTAACCCAACCGGCTGCTTCGAGAAAAAACACAAGATCACTGTTAACGGCAAACTTTATTAAAAAAGCAGACCTACAACCCAAGAGCGATATCACCGATCCAGCTGAATGATATCATGCGTTAATCATCCAAAAAAATAATGGAGAAAATAACGACCGGGCTCCCTCCAGAGGCCAGTCATATGACCGATGCCAAGGCCATGTTCTACATTGACGGGGAGGATCTATGTTCAAACTAGACTACCGATTGGTTAGCTCTCCTAAAAGCCAGCGCCCCTAAGTTGCGGCCTCGAGACCACTGCCACGGCGCTAGTCTTGTGACCAGCCTCTGGGGGGCGCAAGAGCCTGGCTTTCTCGGGCAAAGGCTAGTATTGCAGACCACCAATTACCGTTTACTTAACGCATTCAGCTGGATTGATACAAAATGAGTTGATTTTTGAATGCAGGTCCGCTTTTTGTAACCCCAAGTGACGCTTTTACATCCAGCAAACGCAAAAAGAAGAAAGCACTGAACTTCCGACGCCACATTCACAATCTCCTGCCAAGTATCTCAAACTTAGGGGGGGGGGGAAATCTGAACGTTCAACAAGATAAAAACAAAACATCACTTACCTGCTGAGTGTACAAAGTAAGCCAAATACAAATCAAGCTCCTTCACAGAAACTCCTATGTGATGGGGCTGAACACAAAGCCCATGGTTAGAACACTGCGGAGACTTAACAAGGCGCTCCCCATCAGTACTTTCGAGAGGGATTCCTTTAAATAAAATCACCATCACAAGGTCCAGTCTCCAGACCTTGTCCGCCTGGCGCAGGCAGTCAATTCTTCTCATTTTTCCCTTCTGGTCGGGGTTAGAGAGAACGCAACACGCTTGTTTTTTACCGGTCACCGTGAGTACAAAATCCTCTCGATATTCCGGCCTGATATCTTTCCTCAGCTTCGCCAGGAGACGGGACGCCCATTTCTGTTTGACTTCGGGTTTTTCGCTCAGCAGCTCGTCCTTCACTGCCCTTTCTTCCTCTTTCGACATGCGCTTTTCGTGCTTCTTGAAGTATTTTCGCTTTCGGGCTTGCAGGTTGAACCATGTGTAGGCAAAAGCACGGACGTGAGGCAGAAGTGCTTCGATGAAGGGATGGAATTCATCCTAAAAACAGCGAAAGAATCATTTAAAAAAAGGAATTGACATGACAACGAAAAACTTTTTGAAAACAATTTCTTATTTACCAGTTTGGACAAATAAGAGCAAATATTTATGTGCTAAAATTACAGAGGACCCGCAATCAGAGGAAGTATTTCCTGGGAAAATATCACTTCTAGGCCCATTTTCCGAGCGACAATAAAAAGAAAAAAAAAAGAAAAGGTGATTTCAGGACTTAGAGGCCAGCTAAGTGGTGACAAGCAGGCGTCGGGTTTTTATACACGTCCGTTTCTTTTGTTAATTGTACACAAAGACCCAGCACTTCCTTTTCACCCCAGCAAATGCAGGAACATCAATATTTAAAAGTGGAATCACAGGCAAGAGGACAGGGAAGTAAAAATGGGAGTTTACACCCACAAATTGACAGGGCAGCACAAGTTTAATTTTTGCTGCTAACTTTTTCCTTTTTATTATAAACACAGTGCGGGAACACACATGTCTCTACACACTTGTACAACTTGGCCCGAAGTGCAAAGCAGCATCAGTAAATGACTGCTTTATTTTTCATTTACCCTGGAGATCAGGAGTATAAATAAATA